GCACAAATCCAGTGTAGATGGGGAAACCTCAGATGGCCTCACCTCTAAATGGAAAGCTACAGGTAGTTACTGGCTGCTAGAAGGATTGAATCCATCTTCAGCCAGACCCCTGATAGGTTATCTAATCCCAAGTGATCAGCCATAAACATCTGTACATATAAACAGTGCTAAATGAACTCAGCAAATTGTGTGTGTATGTATGTGTGTGTGTAAAACAATGATAAACAGGTCATAAATTTGAGAGGAGTTGAACAGGGAGAGGATGTGGCTGAAATGAAAATATAGTACTCACATGAAAATGCCAGCTAATAATATAAATGAAAATGAATTTGACTACTTAAAGCATCAAAGAAAATTAGCCAATAGAGAAAATGCCCCAGTCCCAGATGCTGAATACCAGTGCAGGCCTGGGATTAGTAAAGAATGAAGAGAAGCAGGTGGCTGTGGGGTGGGGAGGTAGAAGGGGGGGAGGAAAGAGGCATTTAAGGTAGACATTCTACAGCTAAGACAAAACAGACACGGGAAGAAATGCAGCACGATTTGATTGATCTTTGGGAAGAAGTCTGTGCTGATTGGTTTTTGTCAACTTGAACAAACTTACACATATCTGGGAGAGGGGGACTTTAACTGAGAAAAATGCCTACATCTGTTTAGGCTGTAAACAAGTAGCTAAAGCATTTTCTTTATTAATGATTGTTGTGGTTAGGCCTAGCCCACTTAGTAGGTGCCCTGGGTTGTTTAAGAAAGCAAGCTGAGCAAGCCATGGAGAGCAAGGCAATAAGCACTGTCACTCCATGGTTTTGTTTCCGGTCCTGCCTTGAATTCCTGCCCAGAGTTCCCTTCACAATGAACTGTAAGCTGTAAGATGAAATAAACCATTTCTTCCCCAAGTTGCTTCTAACCATAATGTTTAGCACAGCATAGAAACCTTAAGACAAAGTTTAAGGAAAGGTAATGCATTAAGTGCGAGCTGTCCAAGGGAAAGTAAATTCAAAATCTAATAAGAGCCATTGGCGCAAAGGAAAATAACCAAGAGTATGAAAGTAGGATGCAAAAGCAAGGAAGGGGAACTTAGAAAGTAGCTGGTGTGGTCCAGGCTGGGACACCAACATACCTGTCACTGGGGTCTCCCAAGATGACAGGACAGAATCTTCAACTGTGACGTGAACAGGTCCGGCCACCGTGGAATAGTGAGAACTGCTGTGAGTCAGCTTGGTGATATTAGACTTTAAAGATCAGTGTTTCTTTCTGGGCCTGAACGGGGAACAGAGGTCACATTACTTACAAAGTTAGAGTTGTGTTCAAGGAAGGCTGCGATACAGCAGCACTTTAGAACTTAAACTGGCTAACCTGCCCTTCCAGTATCAGGGGAACAGAACAGACATACAGGAATTTAGAAGATGCATACCACAAACAGCTATATTTTAATGTAGATCCAAAAACGTAGATTTTAATGTATATCCAACAGTGTTTGGAAACACAAAGAGAAAATAGTAGTAACCTATTGCGAATATAGTAAGGGGGGAGTCATAAATACCATTTAAAATAGACTGGCCAATGGTAAAAAATTTTAGGTAAGCAAAAAAGATTTACAGTAACACGCACAGATAAGTACTTGAGTGTGACACTTTCCTAGTCTTCCTAATACAGAGAGCAGAAATGCTACACAGGGGAAGTTTGAAGAGTAAAGATGATAATTACAAAAGAACAGAGTTGAGTTCAGATAATCATATCAGTAAGCATTGTCTTATTCAAAAGCAAACTTCACATGGCTTTTTCTGCAAAACCCAGTTCTATGCTGTATTTGAGGCATATTTAGAGTACAGCAATACAAAACGGATGTGCAGCCTTCACTGCCTAATGGAGAGAAGAAATCTGGCTTCAGCAGCAATAGCAAAAGTAAAACTCAAGCCTCCCACCCTCCCCAATAAGCATGGCAGTGTGCACACAGAGTGAAAGCCATAGCTTGGGAAGCTCTCTTTTCAATGTGTGCTCCTAACACAGCAAGTATCGAAGTGCATGGAACCTCTGTAGAGCATTGGAAGAAAGCACATATAGGAGCCAGAGTGGTGGGTTCCAATACTTCAAGTGAAGGCCATCCTTTGCCAGCCAGGGCTACACACACAAAAAAAAAAAACCACAAAACAAATACATACAAATACATCATAGTACAAGTCCCATAGAATGAAATACTTAAGATCATCTGACATATTTCCTGCCCAAGCCCAGAATCAGCCATTTTGTTCAGTTTGCTGTAATTTAAAAAAGAAACAGCAGGAAGGAGTCACACCATTCAACAGGGCTCACGTTGGAGGTTTATTGGAACAGGAGAGTTCTGTGCAGAGGGGGACAAAAACGGGGGCAGAGACCCGGTCCCTAGGGACAAGAGTGGTGGGAGTGGAAGAGAAATGGGGGGGGGGCAGGGCCCTTTTAAAAGGAAACAGAGAATATGCACAGGTTGTGCTTTTAGTGGCTGCAGCTAAGGACACATCCTGTCAGAGCCCCAAGGGCAGGCCAGTACAGATGCCTGAATACTAACAAGTTGCCTTGAACTCTGGGATCAACTCAGCTCACTCATTGTTAGAGTTTACTCACATGCACTAAGTGATTCATGCTTTTTTTTTTTTTTTTTTTTTTTGAGAAAAGACATCATTGGTTCATGTTGATATTCCTTAATTACAGAGGGGTTGTTTGTTTGTTTGTTTTCTTTTTGTGTCTATCCCTTCTATGCCAAAGTTCTAAGTCCCAAATCTCAGCCTGGACTATGGAAGGCTCTCTGGTGGTGAGATAAAGCCAGCATTCCTCAGGAACTAGTCAAGTCAGCTCTCATCTGCCAAAGCAGCATTTCCCTTACCCTTGGCAGCTCTCCAATTAACATATCTGTGGCCCTGTCAGCATATCAGGGTCCAATTAACATAGCTGTGGTGCCTGTCAGGGTATCAAGGTCAGTGGCAGCCTCCAGGCTCCCTCAGTCTCTACTCACAAGTGCAAGTCATACATGTTAAAGCTCCCACACCAGCCTCCTGCCCCAGCCCAGCTGCTCACCCTTCTTATAGCCCACCATTCTCACCATTCCCAGCTATGCTAGTCTCTGTGCCTTCTCCATCCTCTTCCCCTGCTGTTCTCCCTGCCTTACAGACAGCCCTGACTACCCACGTTCTCTTTCTTACGCTGGACTCTTCTTTCTTTCTCATGGGTATTTTCTCTTTTATGCACAATAAGACCTTACCACACCACAGAGTGTTCATGTCATCACTTTATACAATAATGATATTGACAAAGCCAATACATTAATCTAAGCCTACAATATCAGATTAGCTGCATTGTTGTATCTAAAATTGTGACTATTGCAGAAAGTTTAATGCTGTGGGATAAGCCTTCTGTACCCTGTGGATATGTATTCCTCTCATTGCTTAATAAAGAAGCTGCTTTTGGCCTACAACAAGGCAGAATAAGGCCAGGCTGGAAAGCCAAACTGAAAATGCAGAGCACAGAAGGGTGGAGTCTGGGGGAGATGCGAGCCAGTCACCAAGATGCAAGATGCCAGCAGGCCGGTAAAAACCACAGCTATGTGGCAATACATAGATTAATAGAAATGGGTTAATTAAAATGTAAGACCTAGTTAGTAGTAAGGCTGAACTATGGGCCAAGCATTCTGTAATTAATATTAAGCCTCTGGGTGATTATGTAGAAATGGCTACAGAATGGGGTGGGACAGAGAAACCTCCACTTACAGTTTAATGTTACTTTTGTTTTGCCCATAGATTATTTCCATGTGTGTATTACTTTCATTCTGGTTGATTTTGTTGTTTTGGGGGGACAGTTATTCTGATTTTTACTTTGTTAGTAGTGCTAATTGTAGTGGTGCTTAAAGTTGAACTCAGGATGTGTGTTCTGCAAGTACTCTGCTATTGTAGTGCCTGCAGCCCTGTTTTTATTTGTTTGGTATGCATTTTTAGGATTCAGGATAACTATTAGTGTGCTTTATTTAAAATAAACAAAGGTCTTAAGCCTCTGGTAACAGTATGTAATTGGAAAAATATTATCCAATAATGTTTTCCTAAAGTGGATGAGAAATTTACTATAATGGCTTGATTATTTTTCCTGTTCTACCTGGAAACGCATTTATTCCAGCATGGCCTTAAGAAGCTCAGCATCGCATGCAGTTTCTAAACACGCATCTGGGATTATCACGTTAGTTAGAGTCTCTATGACCTTTGCAGCTCTTATAAAGAAAGCATTTAATTGGCATGGCTTACAAGTTTCAGAAGTTTAGTCCATTATCATCATCATCATGAGGAGCATGGTGCCATGCAGGCAGACCTGGTGCTGGCTACATGTTGATACATAGGCAGCAGGAAGTTGACTGAGTCACTAGGTGGGACCCTGAACATAGAAAACCTCAAAGCCTGCCCCCAAAGTGACATACTTCTCCAACAAGGCCATACTCACTTCAATAAAGCCATACCCACACCTCCTAATAGTGCCACTCCCTATGAGACTATGGAGGTCAATTACATTCAGACTACCACAGCGGCTTTTACACTACCAACAAAGTCTTACAGTAAAGCCTTTAACCTCCAAACTTGGGTTATTTATGGTCTCAAATATATAGATAGTTGCTTATCTGCTGAATGGTAAAGCATCTTATATGTAATGTCTAGTATAATTTAGTCTTGATATCTGTTTAAAAAAAAAAACCTAGCCAAGTGTGGTGTTTCGCACTTACCAACCCAACACTCAAGAGGCACAGGCCAGAGAGAAACTGCAAGCATGAAGTCAGCCTGATTTACCAGTTGAGTTCCAGGCCAGCCAAGGCTCCAGAGTAAGGCTCTGACTGGAACAAACAGGAAAGTTAACCCTGGTTTGAAATCTGGATTTATTTCTACCTTAAGTGATAACATTGGGTCATTAAAGTCTGTTTGGAGAATAACAATAGTAAAATGTGAAACTGTAGCTGTCCCCTTTTGAGAGGTTGGTCTTGTGATGTCTCTTTTCAGAAGCTGATAAAATACCAGTAATGCGTGGACAGTGGTTTATTGATGGGACTTGGCAGCCTCTAGAAGAAGAAGAAAGTAATTTAATTGAGCAAGAACATCTCAGCTGTTTTAGAGGTCAGCAGATGCAAGAAAACTTTGATATTGAAGTATCAAAATCCATAGACGGAAAAGACGGTAAGATGACCAGTTAATGCTTTATATATTCTGTGAAAGTAAGTAATTGATAATTCTTAGAGTAGTCGGTAAGTTTGGTAATAGTAGCTGAGGAGGGATTAAAATTTATTAAATTTGACATTTTTTTGAGGCGCTGAGAGATCAGGCCTTATGCATACTAGGCAAGTGTTTTTTCCTTGAACGGTATTCCCCAGCTCTAAAATTTGTTGTTTTTTTTGTTTTTGTTTTTTTTTTTTGTTTGTTTGTTTTTTTAAATTATTTTACTATTCTAGAATTTAAAGTTATTGTGAATTTTTGGATTATTTTACTTAGTACAAATGTTTTATTGCATGATACTAACAAAATTTATAATATTGGTACAAAATGTTTATATTACACTCTGAGTTAGTCATTTGGGGCAATTTGAGTTATCACTGAAAATAAAACTTATTTAAAAAATCCTTGCTGCTATATGAAAAAGCATTTTTATTAGTATTTTAATGTTGATTCTTTTCCTGAATTTTCAAAGTCAATTGCTTTTGTGGGTGTTTTAATTATCTCTGGATGATAAATGGCAGTTTTAAATTTAAAACAGTATTCTCCTTACATTTCCTTGCTAAGCAAGTAAATGTTTCAACAGTTAGAATGTTATATAATAGCCAAGATTGCCATGTTTTCAGTATGTGTCTAAATCTAGAATAAACCTCAAAATATGTGGTAAAGTTAAAAATCCTTCTATTATTCCATTTAATGCAGGCAGTGGGATCAACTATTCTGGTGAGTATAACGCATAGGAGCTTAGAATATGTAGATACTCCAAGTGCTTCTTCATCCTTGCTTGCCTTTATTTGTGAGGCTTTTGGCAAGCCCTGCTGAACCTAGTGAATTGAAGAGTAATCATTTTCTTTCCCCATAGAACCTTCTTGGCTAGAGCCAAGAAGCCCAGCATTGATCCAGTAATTCATAAGACATAGCTCTTCACTGTCTTCAGGCCTTATATGCACTTTCTTCTCTTTTGGTCAATTTTTACCCTCTCTGCTTCTGTTCTTTATTGCCTGTCACCTCACTGAACACACATAGAGATACATACATTGGTCATAAGAAAAGGAACTCTAACACTACCTTACTTAGCTCTTGTGTCTTACTCAGCTAAGTCTGGATAAATGAGGAAACTTGTGATTTCCGCATAAATTACCAATGAAATTCATCATTTATATAATACTCTACAATTTGCAGTGACCATACTCTGAGTTTTAAATACCTTATTTCATTTTATTAACCTGTAGAGTCAAGTATGTCCTTATTTTGCTGACAGATTTAGGCTGAAGGTTTTGATCTCAATGTAGACAAACAGTTCTCCGGAAGAGCAGTGGCTGCTGATGCCTGCAGGTAGTGCTTTAATAACTAGAGAACTTGCATTGCACTCTTGTGCAGCAAGAATTGAGAATTCATCTGTGTTTTGGAGTTAAGGAATAAAATCTCTCACCACCACTACCGAAATCACCACAAACCTGCTTCCCCCTGGCAGTGACTGAATGACAGGACTTTTGTCGTATTGTTATTAGAGGACATGGAATTTGGGAATTTTTTTTCTTCCTTAAGTCTTCTACCTCAAAAATAGCAATTCATGTAGCAAACATAGTTTTTGTCACCCCAGTTCCTTACTGTTAGTGTGTGAGAGCCCCCAGGCTTGTAGAAAAGAAGGAGAATATGCAAATTAGAAAGAAGTTGTCCCCTCTTCATACTGTTCTCCTCCACTGATGCAGCCTGTGGAGTTAGTCAGCAGGTGTCATCTCTACATCTTACTGTTTAGTATTATATTTACAATAAAATTAATTTTCATGTGAACTCTACACTCTGCTCTCTTTCTAAATATTAACTGTAACAAGGTGCCCAAACTTAATATGCGTAAGTACACAGTTTATGCTGGGCGGTGGTGACACACACCTTTAATCTCAACTCTCAAAGGGCAGAGGCAGGCGGATTTCTTTGAATTCGAGGTCAGCCTGGTCTACACAAAGAAACCCTTTGTGGGGTGGGCGTAAGGGGGAGAACACACACACACACACACACACACACATACACACACACACATCCACCCACCCCTAGATATCCTGGAACTTACTTTTTAGATGAGGCTGGCCTTGATCTCACAGAGATCTATCTGGCTCTGCTTCCCAAATGCTGGGATTAAAGGCATGCACCACTACCACCTGGCTACAGGTTGATTTGTTTGTTTGAGGCAGGGTTTTTTTTTTTGGTAGCCTTAGTTGTCCTAGAACTAGCTATATAGCCACTGCCCCTTGAAGTTTTTATTTTTGTTGATTTTTTTTTTGTTTGTTTGAGACAGTGTCATGTAGTCCCAGTGGGCCTTGACTTCTGTATGTAGTTGAGGGTGACAACCACTTACTTCTACCACCCAAGTGCTAAGATTACGAGCATACACCACCACCCTCGGCCCTCAGCTTGTGATGAGAATGTTTGCTCTATTCTGGTATATAGGTAAAGGTTTATCATATTGTTACCTCAATCATTTTCAGTCTTTTCATCTATTATTTAGTATTATGATAAATACATACTCAGAGGTTAAGGTATGACACTTAACTTTGAAGATCATAGGAAATTTGGTAGTGTATTTTACAGCTGGTATTTTAGAAATATTATTTACCCTCCAAAAAGCCACCATTTAGGGGAAAATAGCTTACACTTAAAATATTTAACAAAAAACATATATTCTTGATTATTTTGTCTTTCATAACTTCTGAAATTTTTTATTTCCCTCTTTTTGGGTGAAAAATACCTTTCCCACCTAAATATCTTCCTTTGTCAGGATTGTTAATGCCTCCTAGTCCTGCCAGGCCCTTTTGTGGAGGAGTATAAAGACATCTATCTGCTCCTGGAGTTTTCAGGGCAGTCACCAGACTGAGTGCAGGATGGCACAGCGAGCAGTCATTCTAGGCAGTTTGGAACAAAGTGCCATGGAGTTATTAGCAGGCTGTCTGTAGAGTTTCACCCAATAAATACGAATGTTTACAAATACTAGGAGCAGGAACTCATATTTTAGGGAAGTCCAAAGAAATTAAGTTTGTACCTTAAGAACATTAAAATAAGGTCCTACTTCTCACTCTTCTGAGCATATCTGTTCAGTGTAGTAAGTGTTGCTACAAATGAATTGGATATATTTAACTTTTTACCTCCTTTATATTTTTCTTACTAATCTCAAAATGAGCCTTGAACTAGACAGATGGACGTCTGGTATATAACTATCCAAATAAAGGTAACCCACTTTGTGACTTAGATCCTTGAACTTCATTCTCTGGGAACTAAAATGAAAATGCTATCCTACCACATCTAATAGCCAGAAGGAAAAAATTATCTGTACATGTGTGCCTGAGCATACATGTGTTCTATCTATGTGCAGAAGCCCAAAGAGGTCAGAAAAGACTGCCATTTGGGTGCTGGGAACAAACCCAGGTTCTTTGCAAGAGCAGTAAACACTCTTAACCACTGAGCCTTCTCTCCAACCCCTAGGCTAGGAAAAATTTATCTAATACAGTGACTAGTCTCAGCTTATGCATTCACTAAAGATGACTAATATAAATAAAATTGTGGCTTCAAATAAATAATTTTTACCAGGTGGTGGTGGCACACACCATCAGTCTCAGCATTCAGTAGGTGGATCTTTGTGAATTCAAGACCAGCCTGGTCTGCAGAGCAAGTTCCAGAGCTACACAAAGAAACTACTGAGACAGGCTACTGTGTCTGGAGAAAAACATTCTGTAAACACGTTTAGTACTGGATTGTTGTTTCATTCTCTTACAGTTTACGCAAACATATATGCTTGACCTGCATGCATTAATATTGTGCATCACGTGCCACAATATACACGACCTCAGTTTTATAGTGGAAAAACATAAGACAATCTAAAAGTGAGGGCTGTTTTACCACATAATACCCAAGGTGTTCCTGCTTGGTTCAGACTTCATCACAGGCAGGAGCAGACCCAGCAGCACAGTGTAAACTGGTATGCTGAATGGGGTCCTAGAGCAGAAAATCCATGAGTTTGAGGATGGCCAGGGTTACATAATGAGGCCCTATCTCCGAAAAGGGGGTGGGGACAGAGATGAAGGGGAGACATTCTGGCCCCTTAACCAGCTTTCTCCTCTGTCTTTGGTGACTAAGGATCCCATATTCTAGTTTGGGGTTATGATTTTATGATTTAATTTTTTTTTATCAATTTGTTCAACTTAATTTACCTGGGGTTCAAGGAAGAGTGCTACAGTTTAGTTGTAGTAAGAAAGTTTGAGATGCACAAACCACCTGCTTTCCCCGAGGAAAAGAATTTTCCAGATCATTGCTAGGCATCATGGCACATGCCTGAACTCTGATTGCTTGGGAAGGAAACTCAGCACAGGATCACTTGAGGCAGACTGGCCCAACCACTGTAAAAGGAGTAAATACTAATTTTCCAGACAATTAACTTTCATAAAAGGAAAAGTTGCTATGTTTCTCTTTTATAGCGATTATTATCCTATTCATTTTTTTATACACTTGACTATAGTCAGAAGTTATATGGTGAAAATAGTTTCTTTGAGAGGTTAGTAAGGAAATGATTCTAATAATTTAATAATTGTCTTTTTTTCATTACCAAGCAAGACTTCAACATGTAAAAGTCTTATTAAATGTTACCAGCTAATACCCTACACCTTCAGTTGTACTGTGAATGTGTGTATACTTTTGTAATAGTACATAGAAACTACTAAACTTTGTTTAACAAAATTAATTATTTTAACAAAAGGAAATAGAACTTTCTAGAACCTAAACCTCCTTTCCCTGTGAATGATCTCTAGATTATTGTCTGCAAAGGTTGTCTTGTTAAAAGTAATACATGTAATTCTGTGTTTGGGGTTAAAAGAATCAAGCTCCCTAGCAGATGATTTCAAGTGAAAATAAGATGCAAAGGTAAAGAACCATAACCATTTAATTTTATAAAAATGTTTTAAATAGTGCAGTTTTCTCTTGGGAGTAACAACTTTGTAATGGTATTTGTTTGTCTTCATAGAGTTAAGCTATTTTTTTTAAAGGTGAGAATTCATTATTGTGTCTGACCAGCTTTCTGAAAGTGCTTACATAGTTTTATAATGTCATGTGACCCATATGTGTCCCAAGAGCTCTTTTTTATAGATACCGGATTTGCTTCAGTTTCAGGTTACCAGTGGACCTACAGGATCTAGCCCTTGTTTCTTTGTGTAGTAAGGGTCTGACCCTTAGCAGGTTTTTCCTAGTTTATTTGGTTTAACGTCTTAGCTGGCCTAAGTATAACTCTGCTCCAGAATGACTGACCAGAAGGCCTGTGAAAGACCAAGGAACAGAAGCCTGCTTCCATGCCCTTTTCTAGTACTCAGAGGCTGTCACCCAGATTTTAGCCATAGTTTATAGTCTTAAAGCCATCTAATTGCATATAGATGTAGTAATTTAATGTGTAGATGTAGTTGTTAATGCCTAGTAAAAATTTCCCTAAAAAAACCTTATTGCATAAATATTTGCATATACTTTAATTGTATATACAACAGAAATTAATGTTTTTTTTAAATTTGAGAAGTATTTAACCTTTGAATGTCAAAATCATGTAGAAGCCAATGATAGTGAAAATTTGATATATTAAAATATAAATTTTAGCTAAATCATAAAAATTTGGTAATTAGCTGAAGTAGTAAACTGATTTATAAGATTCAGTTTCAAGTATATAAATACTTAAATATAAGGAATGTTGGGGGCAGGAGAGAAAGCTCAGCAGTTAAGAGCACCAACTGGTCTTCCTGAGGACCTGGGTTCAAATCCCAGCACCCACATAGCACATAATCCCAGCACTTCACACCAGTGCACATAAAATTTATTTTAAAAAACATAAGGAATGTTATAGATAATATATAGCTAGCTAAATTCAACGAGGAGCATGCTGGCTTTAAGGTTATATGCGGATTTGTCAAATATCAAGTCTATGCCTGTCTTTTCCATGTTGTCTGCTTAATGCCTATCATAGCATATGTTTTTCTAATGAGGTTATTTTTATTATTAATCTTTCCAAAAGGGAGAGTTGAAAGTTGAGCCTCCAGTGTGATTTTCTTTAAAAGTTTTTTCCCTTTCAATTCTTTTTAACCACTTTCTCGGGTGTGGAAGGAAGCCTTGCTTCTGAAACAATTGATACCTTAGCATAGAGAGCATTCAGTGGAGTGTGTGCTGTGCCTGCTGAATTAGCTGTTCAAAATATGGTTGTATTCTCAAATTATGTATAGTCTCTTTGCTATGTCATCACAAATTGGAAGTAAATAGCCTGAGTATCATAGAGTTTATAAATCTCTTAGCATTCAAAAATGCCATGCATTTCTTGTATGATGCAAAGGAATTAAATGATGATCATGTAATTGTCTGTCACTGATAAATGTAGATATTATTTGCCTTTGTTCCTTTCAATAAAAGTAGAACATATATTTGACAGACATTAAACTAATTTTTGTTTGCTGATTTTAACTAGAAATTATATTTTAAAAAGCATTTAGAATAATGTTTGTCAAATATCATTTTAAAAGTTAAGACTAAAAGGAAAAGGCAAAACAGAAAAACTCGCTTAAATTTACTTTGAAGCTCAGTGTTTTTGCTTTCTTAGTTGTCTACCACCTCCCTCCCTTCTCCCTCCCTTCTCTGTTCAAATGGAGAGGATATAAGGAGAGTACAGATGCGACAGGTCTTAAACGAAAGCGTTCCCAAGGTACAGTAACCGTAGTTCTGTTCTCTGTGTAGCTTACACCCAGCTGTAGTTCAGTTGTGCTTAAAGCATAGAAGTACTAGTTTTTTCTAAAAAATGTGTCTGTTGCGCTATTTGGCTTAGTTATACATTTTTATACTACGTATATATGAAAACTGTATTTTATTAAGATGTTTGAATATTAAGATGCTACACTTTAAGACAATATATAAATGATTTTCAGAGGAACAAAGTTTGGCTAGACTTATATTTTCTATAAATATTTGCTTATCTAGTTCAGTATTTTAAACATTAAACTATATTAGCAATTATTTGTTTTGTAAATGGTTATTAAGCCCTTGCAAAAGTTACTAAACCCTTTTAATTTATGAAAACTGTTTTTAAAAAGTTTGAACCTGTGGTTGCTTTCTGTGGAACTAAAGCTGTTAGTGTGTGTTGTGTTAATTGAATCTTAGGCCTGCGAGAGGTACATTCATAACAACAACACCACACACACACACACACACACACACACACACACACACACACACACACCAATAACTTATCCTGAAAGGGAAGTGAAATATAATTGGTTTTCATAAAACATTATTTCTAATGTAAGAAGTGGATTTTCTTAGTGTGTCATTCTTCTCATGGGGAACAGGCTAGCTCAGCATGTCATTCAGCATATCTTACAGTCTTTCCAGAACTATACAATCTTACACACAGAACTGTACTCCTAATTTGGGGTAATATACAACTCATCTTAGGGTAGGACGGGGCACTCTGACAATTACTAGCTTTTGAGCAAATCAGTCTCTTTTTTTGTCCCGGAATTGAGTGAAATTTTTACTTATCGTGATAGTTTTAGTAAAATCAACAGAAGGAATAGAAGCTAAGTTTCTGTGTCAGAGCTATTGAAAATTTTTAAATATGTGTATACCACTTAGAAAGAGTCATACCCCTGGGGATGCAGCCCCTTCCTTGATAATCAAAAACCAAATCACCCTTGTGCAAAAGGTTAATACTATGTAGTCATGCCAGCCACTCTGCTGTTCCTCATAGCATTGTTGAGCATTTATAAAATTCTATGCGTTGCCTATGTGACATGAATGTTTTTCTCTACTGAACTAAAATACACGATGTCTGATTTAGGTAATAGTGATTTACAAACATGAGTATTAGGATATTTTACACAAAGCAAGTCTGCCTTGGAGAACTTGAAGCTTCTCTTTCTTTGTACCACAGCTGTTCACAGTTTCAAACTGAGTCGGAATCATGTGGACTGGCACAGCATGGATGAAGTGTATCTCTACAGTGACGCAACAACATCCAAGATTGCCAGAACTGTTACCCAAAAACTGGGGTTTTCTAAAGGTAATCGTGACATATCACTATGGTTCGTCAAAATTTTGGGAGTCCAAAGTAGATAATTCATATTCTGTTTTTAATGTATTTTAAGTAGAAATTAAACTCAGTGAAAGAACCCTGCTGAGCAAAACTTTTATTCAGATCTATGTCTTCACTCATCAACTCACAGCTATGAATTAGAATGCTAGGACAAGGACAGTAAATGCCCTCCTGTGTGTGACAGCGGCCTACCTTGAGATAGTGAAAACGAACATGGCAGGGTTACATCGCATAAAGGAAGAGGAAGCTGAAAATGCCCCCCGTTATCTTCAGGGACAGTGGGATTTGTGACTGGAATTGTTGGGTCAGAAGCCATATTGTCATGGATTCAGTTTCAGGGGAGGGGGAAATGGTGGTTGTGAGAAAAACAACTCAATGTAAAGGTTTGCTAAAGGAATTGTTTCTTGGCCTTTGACAGTTTAAAGTAGGTTTGTTTTTGTTTTTTTTTTTTTTTTTTTTTTTTTTGTTTTTGTTTTTTTTTTTTTTGTTGTTGGTTTTTTTTTTGTTGTTGTTTTGTTTTTTTTGTTTGTTTTGTTTTTTTTTTTTTTTCTCCCTTGGGAGATGAGGGCGCTGGATTTTTGGTTTGTTTTTTGGGTTTTTGGTTTGTTTGTTTTTGAGACAGGGTTTCTCTATGTAACAACCCTGTCTGTGCTAGAACTCTCTCAGACCAAACTAGCCTTGAACTCACAGAGATCCACTTGCTTCTGCCGCCCTACTACTAAAGTAGTTTTACTAAAAGAGAAAAGGTTCAGATTCTCAGATCTCAGAAGTCACATAAAATCGAAACATATAATGTGCATCTACAGTCCTAGATGCATAGTGTGCATCTTCAGGGGCAGAGGGCCCAAGTTGAATACTGGGAAGCTGAGAGCCAGCTGCCTTACAAGAGACTGCTTTGTGGAAAGTGAGCAGTGCATACCCAAGGCTTGTCCCCTGACCTTGTCCACGCTTCCCATATATTGTCTGTCTGTCTGTCTGTCTCTCTCTCTCTCTGTCTCTGACACGCACACAGGCAAAGACAACTTTTTTAAAGGTGTTTAGGGAAGATAGAGCATCCTCAATAAGATTGAAAATTCATTCTAATAAAGTGTTATTATGTTATTCTTTTAATTTGCTGTAAATGTACCTGAATTCTCCAAAACAATACAGAGAAACCTGCCTTGAAAAACCTAAATAAATGTACCTGAATACTTTATATGTTTATAATTACTTGTATTCATTTTATACGTACCTTTTTATATCTTCAGCTCAAAACATTAATTGAATGTGTGTACTTTTTGACTGGTAAGCGCTCTTTGACTTTTTTTTTTTTTTTTTTTTTTTTTTTGAGACAGAGTCTCTCTGTATGTCATGCTATACTGTGTACTCCAGGCTGGCCTTACCCAGAGATCAAACTGCCTCTACCTCCCTAATGCTAGGATTAAAGGTGTGTGCCACCATACCTGATATACTTTTTAATATAAAAGTTTTTATTTATTTTTCTATATTCCATTTATCCTCTTGTTTTCCTAATGGTTTTTTGGTTTTTATATTGTATTCATGTAATTTTATATCCATCAGTCAATATATATTATAGTACAAACTTTATTTGCCCTTTCTATATCCATTACTATATACATTTCTATATACATTACTACTTTGCCTTTCTTTAGACATGTTTTGCAAGTACCGATTCCTAAGTACTAAACTTAGGGCCATAATTTTCCCACAGCCTCCAGTAGTGGGACCAGGCTTCATAGAGGTTATGTAGAAGAAGCCACGCTGGAAGACAAGCCATCGCAGACTTCTCACATTGTGTTTGTTGTACATGGCATTGGACAGAAGATGGACCAAGGAAGAATTATAAAGAACACAGCCATGTGAGTTCTTTGCAAACAGACCAATTTCTGCCTAAGGCATAAGCAGAGCCACAGGTTCAGCTCCATGTCTTCCTGGTGTCAACTCTTCTAATATCAGTGATGTTTCTGAATGAAACCAAAAGACTGACTGTATCTTTATGATACATGACTTTTCCCTCCATTGCAGGAGGAGTGATTTAAAAAAAAAAAAAAAAAAAAAAAGCCTTAATTAACATAATTAATTTAGGGTTGACAGCAGGAAAAGAGCTAGATTTAGATTTGTTCCTTGCTCTCTGAGCTTCAGACTCTTCAAAGTTGTCCATCTCTGAGAAGATTAAGAATTGTTTAAACTGACAATTTTCAATCCAGTCTGCCCACTGATGGCTCCCAGAGGAAACAACTCTAGGTTGTACACAATAGTCCATGGATATTTACCACACAAGGCAGGTTGTTTATCTCCTTAACTGATAAATACTCAGCTTTATTCTAAAACCTCTTTAGTTGCTTATTGGGATGTGTATAGGGGGAGTTGTGTGTTTCAGAAGTTAAGTGTCGTGTTAAAGCAAAGTTGGGGGTAAAGGGTCCACTTAGATTTGGCTGTTTACCAGCAGCCACGCTAAAGCAGAGCTGATAAGGCACAGGCTTCTGATGCGTTGAGAACTAGGCAGTTACTATGGAAAACACAGTCAGCAAAATTCACCATCCATGAAGTCAATGGATGACTCTAGGAACTAGTGCAGATGTTGAGCTTGCTACACTCTGTAAGATCATCATGCCTGCCGAGGAATTAAAGTAAAAGTGCAGTGCAACTCAAGTTGTATTGTTGTTGGAGCCCAGCAAGCTACCTAATTCTTCTCAGGCCCTTTGCTTCTCTTATAGGCATCTCATAGCTCGAATTCTGGTTTTGTTTTACGAATCATATATGACTTGGCATGATAATTATGTCCTGATGCATCCTCTGTTTAAATATCAGGGACCATGAGAATTGGCTTGCTGGCACATCCTCTGTGAGGTCATTAGTAAAACAGAAGCCTGTGGAGTCTTTCCAAACCCACTGTCACCTGCCCAGCCTCCGTACGTCACCACACCTTACAGGAGCTGTGCAATAGAAGACCATGTGACTAATATCACATGGATGCAATTAGTAAACAGACTGTAGGAAAGTGGTGGGGGGCGGGCTATAAATTAACATTGACACTGGAGACCTAGCTACCATCTTCAGGTATGGACTATAGTATTTGGAACATAAATATAAAATGGTTTATTGTGAAATAGTTTTTATAATCAGTCGGGAAAATGAGGCTATTGAACTACATATTTGCTAAAATTTTAAAAATTACTTGATTGTAATACTTTAATATTGAATAGATGTTACTATTTGGAGATAAGATGTCGCTCAGGGTTAGAGCAAAGGGTAACTCAGTGGTAAAGCAATTGCCTCAAATGTTTGGAACCCTGGGTTCAATGTTGGTATGAAGAAATAAAGTGTGGTGTTTGGGATTTGCTTTAAGCTGTGAAAGGAAGGCCTGCCTGCTGAAGGGACAGCATGAGAGAACTTTCCACAGTGGAACCTCTGAGGATATTCATTATATTGTGCTGATCAAATCCTATCTGGGGTAAAATTCACATAGCTGGCAAAGGGAAAGCTGTAAGTTCATTGATACCTTAGTTTTCAAGGTAAAAGAAAATTGAAATTTGCATTATAAAGAAATAAAAGAGGCAGACAGATTGCAAGAGCCTGAGGACTAGCAAGTCTTCTTCTAGACTTCTAGATATGACAGGGAAGCTATACCCATGGAACATCAACAGTATGGCTGCCTAAACAAGACCTGAACAGTGGCACTACCACTAGATGTGCCTGCATGCATGAGGGAAAATCATGGAGGGGGCGGGGGGGAGGGGGACATCACTAGATGAAGAGCTTCAGGCAGTTAACTACTTCAGAGAGAGAAAATTAGTAACGGGGATGAGCCCCCTAACTGGTTACCCAGTACCATGTGGTCATACCTGAAATTACATACATATAAGCAGTGCTAAACAGAGTCAGCAGTCTATATTTACATATATATTTTTGTCATTTGTATGTATGTATGTAACAATAGTAATTAGAGAAAAAGAGGCCATGAATTGAGAGGGAGTAGGAGGCTAGTACAGGGATCTGAGAGGAGCTGGAGGGAAGAAGGAAGGGGGAAAGGAAATGATGCAATTATGTATTTAATTAAAAATACTCCAAAGCTACACAGAGAAACCCTGACTTCAAAAAAACAAAGGAAATAAACATTTTAAAGGAAGTGAAATGGGATGATTCATGACTGGACACATAATGTGTGGAGATGAGAGGAATCACCGATGCGTTCCTTATGCCCTTAAATCCCTGAAGAACTGTGTCATTTGGGATGTAATGTCAGTGGAGGCATCTGGTCCTGAGTAGTAAATAGGAAAGTAACTGAGGCAAAGCTGTGCTAGTGTAACCAGCTTAGTGTCACTTCAGTGGGATACAGTTGGACACAGCTGCCAGGAAATGGAGGAGTTACAATGAGAGAGACTTATACCATGTAAAGTCATATGTCAAGTTATTCTCAAAAGTTTTTATGATGTTTATTTATTTTTTAGGATGAGAGAGGCTGCAAGAAAAATAGAAGAAAGGCATTTTTCCAACCATGCAACACATGTTGAGTTTCTGCCTGTTGAGTGGCGATCAAAGCTTACTCTTGATGGAGGTATATTTTGTTTTGAAATTAAATGATTTTAGCCAATGACAAACTTTTACTAAATTAAATATGAAGTTTTAGAAATATTTTTATATTAAGAACAAAATCTTGGTCATGTGTGGTGGCTTATGCCTTTAATTCCAGTACTTAGGGGTGGGGTGATAAAGGCCAGAGGATTGCTGTGAGTTCAGGCCTAGCCTAATTGATATAGCAAGTTCTGGATGGACACACACACACACACACACACACACCCTTTTAGTTTGAGTATATTTACTTTTTGTTCCAGATTATTCAAAAACTAGTTGATATAGCAAGTTCCAGACCAGCTGGATGGACACACACACACACACACACACACACACACACCCTTTTAGTTTGAGTATATTTACTTTTTGTTCCAGATTATTCAAAAACATATTTGAGGGAAAACACTGATTTTAAAATTAACAAAATTGACTTGTGTCTTTGGGCTGCCATGTAGACTTCACAGGTAGCATGTCTGTCTGTGTGTGTGTGTGTGTGTGTGTGTGTGTGTGTGTGTGTGTGTGTGTGTGTGTGTCCTTTATGATTTGGAAGTAGAGGAAGGGGTCTAAGTCTGTGTGACACAATACTCACCTTCATCACAGTGGTACCTGCCCTAGGTTCAGCCAGGTAGTCTTCCAGGTCTGTGTTACTGTCTCATAATTAGGAATGTCAGCTAGAACATCCAAAAAAGTGTAATGTGCTTTTAAGAAAGAAGCCAGTCTTAGCTAGGGTTTCTATTACTGAAGAGACACCATAACCATGGCAACTCTTAGAAAGGGAAACATTTATTTGGGGTGGTTTACATTTTCAAAGGTTTAGTCCAGTATCATCATGGTGGGACATGGTGGCATGCAGGTAGACATTGTGCTGGAGAAGTGGCAGGCAACAAGAAGTGATCTCTAACACTGACTGGTACCTTGACATATATATGAGACCTCAAAGCCCACCCCCAGTGACCACATTAATCCAGCAAGACCACATCTCCTAAGAGTGCCACTCCTTTGGGGCCATTTTCTTTCAAACCACCAGAATGTAATTAAATGCTAGTGACCAGAGAAGCAATGATACATATGTAAAGTTCTGTATACTAGCCCTATAGGCTTTTCTGTGGGCTTTTCTGGCTCACCCAGGTAAATTTCAGGAATGTAGACAACAGGATGAATTAACATTTACTGAACCCCTGAGCCTGTTGTTTCTGGCTAAGTTCACATTGTCATGATCCTTGTTTGTTCTTGAAACAGTCTCCCCTTTGTAGCCCAGATGGCCTTGAACTTAGACTTCCTGCCTTAGCCTCCTGAGCCCTGGGGCTCTGTGCATCACTTACTGATGATAGTTTTGAAGGTATTAAGATAACTGAAAGAGGCCAGCCAGGAAGACCTTTATGCTTCCATCCATATAACTGGCAAAAGCAAAACTACAGTCACAAAGAGCCAGAACTTAAAGAAGGGGAGGCAAAATGTTGAAGTCAGAGAAGACAGTTCTGTGTCCAGTCACAGCCATTGTTACACAAAACTGTGCAAGTATTAACACTCAAAATCAGCTATATTCTGTAAATTTCAGACTTAAAGCATGCTGCAGCAAATATCAGGATACTCACTAGCAGTGAAAAGATAAAAAGAAACTAAAGACGTCCATGGACTTACTATCTTGACAGTGCAATCAATAAAACATGAAAAGGAATGACAAGAATAAGAAATGCAGAGACCAGTTCCAGGTCCCATTCTTTCTGCTTAGAAAACACAAAACTAGATGGAAAAATCATTAGAACTGATCAGCTTATCAAAGTCATAACATAGATGATTTTTGTGCAGAAATGATTGCTTCTCTGTAGACCAGAAACAAGCAACATCAAATAATGCAAGGCCCCAAGAAATGGCTTAAATATACAAGTTTATTTTAAAAACATGTAACTTTAAATAACTTAAACATGTATTTTTATATTTTAAAATACAAGAACTGTTAAAATATAGGAAAACTTAATACAAAGAAGAATCTCTCAGATTAAATGGTTGAGTATTCTAGAGATGTTAACTCCCAAATTGATATGTACATTTTCACAGAACTTGATGAGCCAAGAATGGAATTGGGGAGTTATGTCTGCCTTGGTTGCTGCAATGATTTAACTTATGTAGTTCAAACATTTTAATGTTGGGACAAAGCTGGGCCAATAAACCGGTGCAGCATAGCAAAGCATTATCTATTGCAGCCCAGTGGTGAAAGGGTTGCACTTTGAATATGCTTGAAAACCAGTTATCCTATGGGGGAAGTGGTTAAAAATGATGTCTGCTTTATATACCAGCTGGACCAGAGGCTCGACATGAAGGAACAAACACATTCAGAGTAGAGAGAGCCTAGTCTTTGTCATTGTACTAAGTTACATTGTACTAAGTTACAGAATAAATAAATGTGAATTAAATAATCAGAGTCAAGGCACTTGTCCTTGAAAGAGGTTGTAAGGCTTATGCCCCTCTGAGCTTTCACAAAACACTGTTCATTCTCCACACTTAAATAAGCAATGCAGATGCTTCTCTGCATCTCCAGTAATTTTATTATCTAAGACTTTTGTTCAGACGGTTACACCAACTTTGTCCTATTAACTGAAGCCCATCACTAATTTGTTTCCCTTTGTGTTTATTGGTGATTTGACAGTACATGCCCATAGGGTCATTGGTTCATCAGAGATAGATAGATAGATAGATAGATAGATAGATAGATAGATAGATAGATAGATAGGAAGCATAGGAAGTCTTTTTTATTGCTGGTTTGTTGTTAGCAGTGCCCAGGTGTGCCAGATAGGTATAGTCAGGCCCAAGGCAAATAGAGCCAAAAAATTGATATTGGCCTTCATTCTTTAATGTTCCTTTTCTTTTTATCGTCTTTCACCTTTTGTTTTGGATATTTTGCAAGAAGGAAAAATCCCCACTAATGTTTAATAATTAAATTTTAAGTTACTTTGGAAATGTGATTTTTTTTCCCCCCCTGGAACCTTCTGTAAGTTTGGTTTGGTTGTTTTTTCTTGTAGACACTGTTGATTCCATTACTCCTGACAAAGTGCGTGGCTTGAGGGACATGCTGAACAGTAGTGCTATGGACATAATGTACTATACCAGTCCACTTTATAGGGATGAGGTAAGTACCATGACCATCTTGTCCTGTTAGGTGTGCTGTATAGTAACAGCAATTTGTTAATAGTGAATTTGATCAGCTTCAGACAAGTAATATAAGTAAATAATATATATAAATAAATATATATAAGCCTCATGGAGATAGAGACTAGAAATGAAGGATAATTCTGAACTCATTTATAAAATAAGCTTACAGGTATTTTATATATATACATATATATGCACACATATACAAAATGTGTGTGCATGTGTATTTACATACATGCATATGTTTCCCAACCACGAATACTAAAATAGGCAAGAAACAAGGATCTCCTTTATCACACCGAGCACACTAACACCCACCCAGATGGTTATTCCCCATAAATAAAAATTACAATTCCTTGTGAATATAGCTGATTTGGAGGCCAAAGCAATTTGTGACAGAAGCTAAAGAAATGTTCAAAAGAATAATGGCAGGTCATAAGGATAGGAGTTAGAGCACCATTCCAGTTGGCTAAATCTGAAACTGTTTGGGCACCAAAGTGGTTCACTGTTACTGCAGGAATTGGTAGTACTTTAATGTGGAATATAATAATGATAATGCAATAAAGAATTGTAAACCATTTTTTAAAATCTTTCATTGTATTGATTATAATTGGAAAAACTAAATGGAAAGCAGATAGGTCCCTTGTTTTTAGTAGAACAATAAAGCTGACTGGCATTGGAAAGTCATTTTGCAGCTGTTGTGGCAGTGTTGGGTATAAGGAGGACTGGGCATGAATCATCAGTTAATATGAAATTGAGGGCATTGTTTTGTTTAGGAGCAGGCTAATTGACTGCATTCCCACAGACTGCTAATTACACATAGGAGAAATCAAGCAACATCTATCCTGGGTTTCCCCAATGGGCAGTTGAACATTGTGAGCCTTTGAATATATACCCAGTGGAGGATGCAACATCCCCTGTGCAGCATCATAATATTGAGGAAATAAATACCTGGGAAACACAAAAAAGTAATGGTGCTGGTGCTGTATTCTTTTTAACTGTCAATGTCATAAAAGTTAGTAATTACAGGAGTCATAAAAGACAGTAATTACAGGAACCATTCCCAATTACAGGAGGTGAAGAGATCTTATAAATACTACATCCCATCTTCTGATGTCCTATAATGGATGAGGAAGCTGCTGGAATGGTCAACAGAACCGGGTTGTGGTGGTAGATTAGATACAACATATCCAAATAGTGCTGTGTGGCATGAATAATTATGCTAGAAATACCCCTAGTATTAGGGAATATACAATGAAGTATTCAGGGATAAAAGACAACGTGTATAGTAGTATATCCCTCAAGTAATTACCAGAAAATTTGGGAAGGTGTGCATTTGCACACTTACAGAAGTAGAGAGAATAAATAGCACAAATGTGATAAATGCTAACAAAAGAGAATCTGAATAAAAGATAATGTGGTGTGTGTGTGTGTGTGTGAGTTTTAAGAAGTGATTCTGCACATTGAGTACAGGTACCAATGGAGTCCAAAAAAGGGCATTGGCTCCCCTGGAGCTGGAGTTAGCAGGTGGTTGTGAGCCACCCTACATGGATGTTGAAAACTGAGCTCGGGTCTTTGTGAGAGCAGTGTGTTTTCATAACTCTGAGCTAGCTCCAGCCCAGGCATTTCATATTTTATTTGTTCTAATTTTTCTTTGTAACATTTTATGTTTTCAAATAAAAAGTTGAGGAAACAAAATATTTAAGGGGAAAAACAGTTTTCTAGGTCCATCCCTGGAGATTGTGATTCACTTGGTCTGAAATGGAACCTATGTTTATATCTTAAATTGACAGTTCTCCTAAATGATACCATCAGGGAATTCTGGGTAGTGCTTCTGAAAGCATTATGAAGAACAAAAGGAGTACATTGGAATAGGTGGGCACAGGTATGCTCTGCTCGCTCATTCACTCGCTCCTTTACAAAAGGACAATCTGTAAAGTAAAATCCCTCATAGTGGGGCTGGATATGTGGCTCAGCAGTTAAGAGCATGTGTACTCCTGCACTGAACTCTGGTTCAGTTCCCAGCACCCATATGGTGATTTACAACCATTGTGACGCCAGTTCCAGGGGACCCTAACCCCCTCTCTGACATCCTGCAGGCATCTGTAGTGCACAGACATGTATGCAGACAAACCATTCATAAAAGTACTCAGAAAAGGTTGTAATCCCTCATGTTACTCTTAACATGGGGAGTAAAATAATCAGTGAATAGGAGGAGCATGTGTGTTTATTGTGAAGACCTTTGTAGTAGCAAGGCTGCCTTGAATGATGCACACTCCCTTCAGCATGGAAATAAGGGAGCAGGTGGATGTTGAGCCATCAGCAGCCAGTGGTGCCACAGAAGGCGCTCTCCACAGCAGTTATAGGTCACCCCTTGATCTCTTGACTCTGAGTTTCTCAAGGAAAAAACCTTAAGTGTGTTAATGGTCACAGATAAGCCAGTGTTAGAGGGACAAGGCCATGTGCCAGCTAGTCCTTCCCAATCACTTTCTAAAAAAAAACAGGAAAATGAGGTGCTTTTTGCCCTATACTGAAGTACTTCTGTGTTCACCTAGTATAAACTTTAGAATCAAGACCTTCAGAAGTAAATCATCACGCAGAGCTGAGTCAGTGTCTCTCTGCCCAAGCACACACAACGCCCTGGATGCAATCCCGAGCAAAACACCTGTGTCAGTGTCTCAGTGCCGAGCGCACACAGCACCCTGGATTCCATCCTTAACAAAACACTTTGCTCTGTCTCTGTGCCTGCTGCGAGAATTATAAGGAAGGAAGTTTTTTAATGTTACTGATTGTTGGTATTGTAAGGTCTCCAAAGAATTACAACTCATGCAGTTAATAGTACACATAGAGACATCGCATTGCATACTCCTTAGACCTGGGTTTTACCTAGGCTCAAATCTTAAAAGGCCTTTATATTCATTTTTCCTTGAACTACTAGTTCCTAAAGTAGAGATCTCAGGCCAGCAGCACCAACATTTTCCAGGAACTTGTTACAAATGCAAATTCCCAGGCTCTGCAGAGCCTCTGAGTCAAGAACTCCAAGCCAGCAGGCTGCTTTTAGCAGTCTGTCCAAATGACCCTGATACATAGAGACTTGGAGAACAATTGCCACCAAAGCAAGGGACTCTTCCTCTCTGTGTCTCACTGCCAGAATATATTGCATCAGACATCACATAGCTTCAATAGCTCAAATTAGCCTCAGTGTTTTATTGAACTCTAAGATGTCAATAGAGGATGTCAGGCTTCATGTGTGCCAACACTGAGCCTACCAGTCATGAAGTACAAGAGGGAATGCCAGGTTATGCCATCAGGTGAAGAACGTGCAGTGACAGCTGATGGAGTTGGGTTGTCTCTTGATACAACATGATTTTAAAATAGAGCTATAAAAAATCAGCAACAGTTGGCTTGTTAAGATAATGAGATAAAATGAATAAAAACTGACAATTTATAATAAAGTAGAAATAGTAAGGGGAGACAGGTCTGTGTTCAACTTCAGATCAGGGTGTAGAGTGGGTTTGAGAGATAAAGTAGTTATTCTGTAGCTTCACAAAGACAAAGTACTGAGCCACTTCACATCAGTGGTTTTATTAGTTGAGCCCAGTCACAGAAATCATCTCTTATTTTTCTCTGTCACCAACATGATGGTTTTTCCATACAGTAGCCTCTTACTATATTCTCTTAACTACATAATATATATTTAGTATATATTATAAATTTATGTTCTTTTTTAAAATGTTACCATGGCTAAAACCCACACACTGAAAATTTAGACTTGACATACAGTAAGTTGCAATGAAGTAGAAATTTCCAGGGGTCTTTGGAGATCTTATTAGAATCTAAAAGGAAATTCCTTTTTTCTGTCTGTGGGACAGCTGGCTAGGGTAATTTACTGAAAGACTCCAAAAGGATCCTCATGGGTAGTATCTGCCTATTCTGTACTCTGTGGTGATGGTAGGGTTTGTAGCATATACACGTACCTCCATCCCTGTACCTTTTTAAAGCACCTTATAACCTATTTATATTTCATCAGTCATGCTTATTTTTCTTAATACACTTACATTTAGAAATAAAAAGTTTATAGCCTTGGTGAAAAATCTAATATGAGTATATTTTCTTATTTTGAACAGCTAGTTAAAGGCCTTCAGCAAGAGCTGAACCGATTATATTCCCTTTTCTGTTCTCGGAATCCAGACTTTGAAGAAAAAGGGGGTAAAGTCTCAATAGTGTCCCATTCCTTGGGGTGTGTAATTACTTATGACATCATGACGGGCTGGAATCCAGTTCGACTCTATGAGCAGCTGCTACAGAAGGAAGAAGAGCTGCCTGATGAACGATGGATGAGCTATGAAGAGCGGCATCTTCTTGACGAACTCTATATAACGAAACGACGGTAAACAATCCTAGATTTTTGAAGGAGTTGAAACTGTCTTTACAAAATTGCTGGAGAGGTGGCTGCTCTTTCAGAGGACCAGAGTTCAATTCCCAGCACCCACGTCAGGCTGTTCACAACTCCCTGTAACTCCAGCTCCCAAGATATCTAGTGCCCTTCTCTGTATTCACACATATGTAGTTAAAATTAAAATGTTAAGTGAAAAAGAAAGAGAAAGCTTTATGCTTTCTTCAGGGTAAAGATTACTAGATAACAACCTAACAAAGCTATAAGTTATTAATTTTTATACTTTTGTTACATGCACTTTTCTACAGAATAGTTTGATTTGCCTCCTTCCATCCTTGGTCACAGTTTGTTCCCAGTGTTTTCAGTGTGTAATCATTTGTTTTGCTGGTTATAGAGGTTGGTCTGTACTATTATTATTATTATTATTATTATTATTGTGAAAATAGTATTAAACTTCATTAATCTTGGCAAATTATTTTAAATGTTATCCTTATTAACAATTATATAGTATATAATTATAAACAGATTTAATGATAATATAACCATCCGTGACCTTCTTAATGTCCTTTAACTCTTTGCAACATTATTATCTTAATTTATACTTGAATTCTCCATCTTCTTTGTCCTCTTACTGATGCAAGTTTATTTACAATGAAAAACGCTAATGTGTGATAGTTTAGCATTTTATAAAAACAGCTGAGGTTAATGGATAAATCTTTACTCAGGAAGTATTGGCTTTGTTTTACTCTTAGAGTATTCATCTCAGGAATTAGGTGCCATATACATAAATACCACAATAACAAAGCAATTATTAGTCTTGGAAGAAAATGGCATTTAGCTTAATCCCAGCACTCAAGAAGCAGAGGCAGGTGGCTTTCTGAGTTTGAAGCCAGGCTGGTTTGTAGAGTGATTTCCAGGACATCCAGGGTTACACAGAGAAACCAACCCTGTCTCATAAAAACAAAAAAGAAAAGAAGTTTGACAGTCCTTCTCAAGAGTGTCATCTTAGCACTGGGCCTGAATTTGATTCTCAGCATGTTGGTCAGACAGCACAATCACCTGTACTCCAGCTCCAGGAGACCCCACACTCTTTTCTGGCTTGTGCAGGCATTGCACTCACATGTGTCCACATGTACACACACATGACTAAAAATGAAAGCCAAAACATTTAAAATTGTTTTTAAAATGTAATCATGATGGCACAGGCCTGTAATCCTAGTACTTGGGAGGTAGAATCAGGAGGATTGGGAGTTCAAAGTCAGCCCAAGCCACATGAGACTGTCTCAGGAAAACTAAGGAAATACATAGATATGTAAGTGAGTGAGTCTGTCTCAGAAAGTGAAGTATAGCTTTCTTGAGAAAGAAAATAAGCAGATGTTTTAGAGGTGAGCAAAACTGAAGTGTGTTGTTAACATAGACTACTCAACCCTTAGCAGAAAAGGGTTGAAGGTGGTTTCTCATGTGGTGGACAAATAATGGAAAAGAAAAAGACAGCTTTAAATAAAGATTAATTTAAATAAAGTATAATTTTTGAAGCGACATGGGTGGGTAGGTAGGTAAATAATGATTATGTATATACAGGTGTCATAAGAAGTACCTTTGCAGTCCTTAAGCAGTACAGCAGGAACATTAATTGAACATTATCACATATGTTAGTTAGTGTGAGGGCCAGCATTTGTTGCATAAAGTTGTAAGCCTCTAATACAATGATGAATTGTAATAAAACTATAAATATATATATATATATGTGTGTGTGATCTCATGTTGCCTCCTAGGCTAAGGGAAATAGAAGAACGGCTGCATGGATTGAAGGCATCGTCCATTACACAAACACCTGCCTTAAAATTTAAGGTAAGGGAAGGGATCAGCTTCTCACTGTCTCGGTACTTTCTGAGCATTTGATTGAGTATGGTGTCATGAAACAAAGGAAAGTTTAGTCGTGAGTGGTTATGTACTGTGTGCTCAGAGAACAGTGGGCAGGATGGTTCTCCAGCCCCTGGATATAACAGTCAGTACCTTGGTGCCCTTTAGCAGTGTGCAGAGCAGTAATGTACTAGAGAAGGGTGACTTTCCTTCTGCCTGGAAAGCTCTGAAAGGATGAACACTTGGCAAGTGAGGGGAGGAAAAATTGAGACAGATGTATGAAATGTTTACTGTTTAAAAATAACAAAACGTATGGTCAACAGCAAAAAGAAAATAAAAGGAAGAGGACAGGGATGAATTCAGGGTAGGAAGCGGGGTGCTTCAGTTCATCAAGTCTAGAACAAAAGCCCCAGACAAGGCTCCCAGGGTAGGTTTGGCTGGAGCTTTCAGGACTTGGCAAGGAAGGGGCTGTGAGAGAAGAGGAACTGCTATCTGCTTGAGAGGGGCAGAGCAGAACTAGTTTTTAGACCAGTTAAAACTGCTTCAGTAAAGCGTAAGGAGAGGAGATGACTGCACCGGCAGCACTCTTGGAATCATTCTTGGCTGCAATAGCAAACAGAAGATGGCATGAGCCTCTAACACCTGCTGTCTGCATGTGTAGAACCACATTGCCTGCTCCTGGCGCATCTCTTCTCACACCCGAGCTTAGTGTGAAGCTAAAGTGTGGGGGACAGAGAAAAAATGGTATTGACTCTATGGCTTGCACAGTTCTTCTTTAACTGGTATTTATTTTTCATTTTTCTGAGTATGGGTGAATGTCTGTATGAATATATGTAAACTATATGTGTGTCTGGTACCTGCACAGGCCTTAAAAGGGTGCCAGATTCCTGTAACTAGGCTTCCCCAGACTGATTTTTTTTTTTTTAACTTAAACCATACATACAAATTGTTGAACTGGGCTTGTAACTCAGTGGCAAAGTACTTGGCCAATGTGCACAAGGCACTGTGCATGTGTGGGGTGTGGGGGCAAGGAGCATGTTGAGATGCTGAAGTTGAATCATGCATTTCAAGAATATGGTCTCTGGAGTTCTCTTAATCTGGAATTTGAATGTCTACACTATCATATATAAATATTACTAAATGTATAAATGTATCCGGTAGATAAAGACTTTTACATGAGAATTAGGTAGAATACATCAAGCATATTATAATCTTACATTCAGTTCCACATGACTTGAACCTGAGCATATAATTTGGTTTCTTCTGATGCAAGTCATGCAGTCAGACTCCTCATTGTTATTTAGAGGGAAACATAGAAGTTGAGAATTTAAGACGGGTATCTGAGAACCTGGTAAGTTATATTTGGGACTTAAGAGGTCAGAGGAAGACAGAAGTTTTTCCATGTGGATAGCCAGCAGTTAGATTGACCTTGAGGAAGCTGGTGTCAACCTGTTGTGGTTGACCTTTGACCCTCAAAATCAGGAAAAGAAGAGCATTGACAAGCATCAGTGTGTGGTGTGGACATTGAAGCTTTGATTTGGTTGTGATTTTTGTCCTGTCTAATTAGTAATATTAGCCAAGTCATGTAGTATTTCTGAACTCAGCTGTTTACTTGTCTCTGAGCATGGATGCTTAACTAAATAATCTAAAATTCCTTTTTGTCTTCAAAATTCTTTGAATGGGGACTGTTGAGATGGCTCAGCAGGGAAAGGTGCTTGCTATGCAATTCTGGCGACCTGAGTTCAGTCCCTGCAGCTCACATAAAGGTATAAGGAGAGACTCTACTTCACACAATTGTCCTCTGACCTCCACATGTGTACCATGGTAACACATACCCCCACATACACATCATACGTGTACACACATGGTATTTTAATGTTTTTAATTATTTGATAGTCATAACGGACTGAGAGAACAGTACCTCTGTGTCAGACTGCAATCATCATAAAATAATATGGAAGAAACAACTTAGCAGATGTTTATGGAGCCGATGCAGAAAGCATTTTGTACAGAATGTCATAACTTCCTCTTGATGCCTTTTTTTTTTTTTTTGTATATTGGGTGGCTGGTATGAGTGTGTGCATGCGTGTGTGTGTGTGTGTGTGTGTGTGTGTGTGTGTGTGTGTGTGTGTGTGTGTGTGGTGTACACACATGAATATGCAGCTGTTTGCCCTACATACACAGAGATAGAGTACAAAGCTGGATGTTTTCCTCTGTCACTCTGCCGTATTGCCTTGGGATAGAATCTCTCACTGACCAGGCTTTCCATTTTGACTAGGTGGCTGGCTTGCAGGGTTCCAGAATCCTATTTTTCCCACAATCCTGGGGTGACAGAAATGCATAACCACACCCAGCTTCTTTACATGAGTGCTAGGGATTCGAACATAGGCCATTGTGCTTGAAGACTAAGTGCTCTTACCCACTGAGCCATTCCCCCCAACCTTTGTTTTTTGTTTTTTTGAGACAGAATCTCAAGTATCCCAGGCTAATCTCAAAATTACCCTGTAGCCCAGGCTAGCCTCACACACCCAGTCCTGCCTCAGTCTTCCAAGTGCTGGGATTACAGACATGAGCCACATGTGTAGCTTAATTCTCTATCTCTTTCAGACCTCCTTCTGTCACTTTGTAGAAGAACTGGTTTATATCAGCTGTCCCTGTATTTGCAGTACTTTTCCTTGGGCTGGGCAGCATGGTGATAGCATGTGTGGAGGGCTCCAGGTTTAAGATTCATGTATATTTTTTCACTCTAAAAAGTAAGTCATTCTGTCATCTTTTTGGAAAGAGTTACAGGTATATAAAACTGGAGGTTGAGACCCTGCCACAATATAGTTAGGGTGACAGATGCCATTTTCACTCTCCCTTCTAGAGTTTCCCCCCTTCCTCCTGCTGACTAAATGTAGATCTGTGCCCAGCTATCCATGTTTTGAGCACATCCTAAGCAAGCTGGTTGGCTTTCTTGGCCTCACATGCTTTGACTACAGTGATGATGTGGGTATAGTTGGGGATAGCAGGAGGCACAGCTCTGTATCCCCTGCTCTGGTTCTGCAGCCACTGTGACTTAACTGTGAACAAAAATAAGATTTGGCGACAGTTTCCTCTGACAGTGGCACTGCATTGTTGGTCTCTGACCCATTCCTTATCATCTCCATCCAAGCATGTGCACTCTACCCTCAAATGTTCCCACTTGCCTCTTTTATTTCAAGAGACTTTCTTCCCCTCCCCCCCCAAATCAGTAGCATCTCTATTTTCTGATTAACCTTCCTAGACGATGGGTTAATAAGTGCTGTTCTTTATTGCCTAAAATATAAATTATATTAATTATTGCCTGTCTTCCTTGATAGTCAAAGATATCTGAATGTTATCATCCCAAGTCTGTCTGTCTGTCTGTCTGTCTCTCTCTCTCTCTCTCTCTCACACACACACACACACACACACACACACAGAGCTTTTCAGTCTTACCTATGTCTTTTCTCAAAAATCATGCAGTACCTTTCTCTCCCTACTTTAGTGCATGAGTATCAGTCTTATCCATCGTTCCCCCCATCCCTGATACCCCAGTCTCTACTGTAGAATCCTTACTCTACTGGCCACAGCGCACGCCCCACCCTCTGTAAAGCCCACACAGCTCTGTCAGCTGGGAACAGTGGCTCTACCCTGCTGGTCCCAACCCATCACAAGACCTAGTGTACTGATGTAGTCACGATGTCCTGCCTCAACACCCCTGACTAGTGAGTAGAAACAACAGTTTTAATTTCTGCTACTTTAAAATAATGGAAACCTTCCTGGAAGTAAATTATTATGAAGTCATTAATGGCTGGTATGTAATTGGCAAATAATGTACACAAAGCTTACTTAAAACATATACTTAGAGGTAATTTTATTGTTGGTGTTTTATTATAGAACATGTTATCTCCAAATTCTGTTGAAAATAACATTTTGTCATTTTTTAAATTTAGGCTGCCTTTTTTTTTCATTTTAGGTTGAGAATTTCTTCTGTATGGGATCCCCACTAGCAGTTTTTTTGGCATTGCGTGGCATCCGACCAGGAAATACTGGAAGTCAAGACCACATTTTACCTAGAGAAATCTGTAACCGCTTACTAAATATTTTTCATCCTACAGACCCAGTGGTGAGTTTCTTGTGAGCTTCCTAGATGCGGAACTGCTGTTCTGTGAGAAACCTTGCCAGGGCCCATGAGCTAACAAGAGAAGTCATCTTCTGGTTGGAAAGGTTATATTTTAACACTATGTGTTGTTCATTCAGAGTTCATGAAATAAAATGTTAGAGAGGGTCTTCTCTCATAACTCCTTAGCAAGGGACTGGAGAGGTGTCTCAGTTGTTAAGAGCGCTTGCCACTCATGCATGGCACCTGGGTTTGGCTCCCAGCACATCTTTTTAAAAATTATAAAAAGAGTACAAGAGACAAGAATCTACTAGAGTTTCAAATCTTAACCAGTAGTAACTCCAGTGGCCTAGGAACAGGAAGTCTTAAAAGTCCTGTTTTGAAGGCTGGCAGGAGAACTCATGCCTGATGGCCTGAGCTTACTCCCTGCAGCCCATGTGATGGGGAGGAAAGCACCTCCCACAAGTTGTCCTCTGTCCTATGCATGGCATGGTATACAGCCACAAAAGTAAATAGGTAAATATAAAAAACACAAAAAGTCAAAGTATAAAGTACTCATTTTTAAAATTTTTCTACTATATTTGTTCTTTTAAATGTTTTTAAATGTAAACACTGCAAGATCATGCATCTAGTTGTAAATAGTGAGAGACAGAAGAGATTTTTAGATAAGACATATACTTCAGGCTGGAGTGTAGCTCAGCAGTAAAGTGCTTAGTTTACAAAAGGAACCTGGTTGGATTACCTCCACACAGTGAAGATGTCTCCTTATTCTTGTTAGGGATAATAGTACAACACACACACATTATCTGAAATTAGTTTTTAGTATAACTATGTAAGTCTTTTGAAAGATCACTAACTAACACCAAATAAACACTGACGGACTATTTGAATTTTGGAAAGTCCCATGTCTTAACAACTGCCATGTATAAGAGAAAGCTACAATTGAAACTGAGGAGCTGAAAATAAGCTTCCACCAGGATGACAGCCTAAGTCTGTTAGAGGAATACAGAGTACAGTCACGGCAGTCACCCTGAGACCAGCGTTTCTGTATGTTCGGATGTTTTTCTTCACACACCAATTCTGTCGTCTTTGCATGTCTCAAATTTGCCTTTTATGTGTTTGGTTCTGGGATTTGAACCCAGGCCTTCACATGTCCTAAGCATGCACCAAGCTGCATTGTGTCTCCTAATACTTTCTTTAATGCTTCCTGTGGACCTTTGGTAGGTAGGTTTTGCAGACATTCTTTTTTCCTCCTATGAGACAGCCCTGAGATTTTGACCTAGCAAGTAGCAAATAGTTAATGACAATTAGTGGTGGAGATGAGAATCTGTGCTACAGGATTCTGATGCCATGCATACAACTGATGATTGACTCATTGCTATAGACAGCAGCCTTTTGTTGACTTTCAAGTTAGGCTCCTATTGGAGTCACATGTTTGAAATCAAGAATAGTAAAAGATCTGTATATTAGAGATTGTCCTTATTGACTATGTCTTGGGCTGTCACCCACCACTTTGCTGTTTGAGTCTGACATTAAATCTTGTTAGACCATATCAGAGTGTGGTAAAGCTTAGTCTTTTTCTCTATAAATGACTTAATAGACACTGTTAGTCAAAACTAACTCCAGTTTTTATAATCTGATCCTTAGGGATATGTAACTGGACGACCACATATATTAACAGTGAAAAATATAGAAGTACATTTTTAAGCCATTTTTTAAATTATTGCTATAAGATTTACTTATTCAACAGAGCTTTAGGAGTAAATATTTTACTAAAATCTAGACATTGTATATTAATATTGTATTTCCTTGCATTTTTGAATATCTAGGCCTACAGATTAGAACCGTTGATTCTGAAGCACTATAGCAACATTTCGCCAGTCCAGATCCACTGGTACAACACTTCAAATCCTCTACCTTATGAGCATATGAAGCCAAACTTTCTCAACCCAGCAAAAGAACCTACCTCAGCTTCAGAGAGTGAAAGCATTGCCAATATCCCGAGCCCCGTGACCTCCCCAGTCTTATCACGGCGCCACTATGGAGAGTCCATAACTAACATAGGCAAAGCAAGCATATTGGGTAATTTCTCTCATTTCTTATTTGTGAATGGAAGTTGGGGGCTGGTTGGAAATACGCTTTAGAAAACTTCCAACTGTTAATCTCCTGGAATTGGCGTCCTTGCTGACTAAAGCAGAAGCTCTGATGTCCTCCAGGTACATTGAACAAGAAACAGCGCTCTGCTCATTGTAGTCTGGCCTGTGATTTGCTGGAGGACCCTAAGAATGCTGTTGTTTTTATTGCTCCACTTCCTCTTCTGCGTTCTGGGAGAATCTCCCCACCACATCAGTTAGTGTTTTTGCTTCTTAGAGCAATGGGGATATTTCATCTCTGTTTGAGTGACTTCTTGTGCCAGCACAGAAGTTGGGCATTTCATTAGTACACCACTTGAATTTGTTTCTGGTTGAGTGTCCTTAATGTAAATGCCACCAGATGGCACTGTAAGTAGGCCTTACCTACCAAACTTAATCGCTGTTTGACTTCATACTCAAAGGTCATTAACGGCTTTTTATACCATAAATTTAGTAAGACATATACCTATTAATAGTAGCTATATGTCCTGTGTCAACAGCATGGGTCTTTTGTTAGAAGTTTTCATTTTGCCAAATACTTCTGTAACAATGAACATTTGGATAAAAACCGTCTTGGTTGTATATTCATGTATCTATACTCCTAGAATTTATACAACTTCCCTTCTTTTAAACATCATTCTTATTTAGGAATCTACATAGGAATTAGATGCTTTTTTTTTTTAGGTCCCCTCCCTGGAAAAGAGTGAGTATGACTTGGCTCCTTTGCCAGTTGGCTGTAATTATGGGTGGTGCCCTACAGTGTGCCTTGAGATGAGTCAGCAGAGTAACCGCCTGTTCTGTGACACGCAGGGGCTGCTAGCATTGGAAAGGGGCTTGGAGGAATGTTGTTCTCAAGATTTGGACGCTCTTCAGCATCACAGCCATCTGAGACATCTAAAGACACAATGGAAGAGGAGAAGAAGCCTGTCCCTTCTCCTTCTACCACCACCGTGGCAACGCAAACCCTGCCGCACAGCAGCTCTGGCTTCCTTGACTCTGCATGTTAGTTCCTATGGTTCTTAGCTTATGTGCTTATGGAGGGTGGGAGGGCAGAAGTACTGGGGGTCCCTGTTCAGGTCTGAAAAGAGTAAGGGCAGTTTTAGTGTCTGCAGTGACAACTTACTAGATCATTTTAATTTTAGCCAGGGCTCTTTAGCAAAAGGTCTAAATTATCCAACACTAGACCATCTCTGTGGAGTAAGTGCCCCTAGCTTTTACAAAGCATATTTTCACAACAGTCACCAAGGTTCAAATTTCACATTGTCACTATAGATGTCACTGTATCTGGCCTTGAGAGTTCTGAACCAGTGCTCTGCCCTGTAGCTAAGCACACTGGCCTCCAGCTTTATGACCCCCAAAGCCAAGGCATTTTACTGTATCCCTCTGTATGTCCTCTCTTCCTGCCCTGGTTACCTAGTGTATAGTATTGATTTCTGTGACAGTACACGTAGCATTAAGGTGGAACTTCTTTTTTTTTTACAGTGGACTTCAAATGTTTTTTTATTTTACAAAGCTGCGAAGTGCTAGTCCACCAGTGAACATTAGTCCCATCAGTGATAAGTCAGACAAGTTCTAAAGTAGCTGCTCCCTTTCAGAAGTGAGCACGAAGAAGTAGACGCCATTGCAGTTACTGGTGGCATTGTGTTCTTGCTGTGTCTGCCACCTTGAATTTTGAAGTGACCAGCAACCAGAACACATCAAGGTGGCACCGCAGAGGCTGCATTGTGCCTCCACACTCAGTCCCTTCCAGGGTGGGTTAGCAGTAGGGCTGAATGTTCCTAATTAAGCCAACAGCATTTTCCATTCCTTTTGAGTGCTAAAATGTATATTTGTGAATCTTGGGACCATGTGTAGACTATTCTTTTTCGACTTTGAGTCTGTATAGAACTCATTTTCCTCTGAGTTCTTAAAACTGTTGTTCACTCAGCTTTACCCAGAAACAGATGCTCACAGTGACAGTGAGGACCCCCAGAAAAGAGTGTGAACACATGCAGAACCTGTTCTCTTTCTGTGAACTTACCACCAAACATGTCTCAAATGGCAGCAGAGAAACAGTTCTTCCTACCCAGCTGGACAGACTCCCATGTCTTTCCTCGGACCTAGGCCCTAGCGTGTGCTCTGCATGCTGCCTACAGTTCCGCTGAGCTATACCCCAGCCATGTTCGTCATGCTTACATGTAAATGCTTTAGCAGTCTGCATGTTAAATCCTAACCTTAGTCTCAACTGTATCTGAGATAATCATGAGTCTTTGTTTCCTATAGTCATCTCTCAATAGAGAAAGGACTATTGCAATCAGACCTATGACTATGATTCTCTTAGTAATTCTTTGACTTGCCTCAGTAGTGTACACTTCTGTGTAATCCTGACTTGTATGCCACAATTGCTGTCTTGAAATCCTGAAACTTCTCTTCCTTGAATCTTTCTGGAATGTGGCTGTTGTGATCAGGGGACTGAGCTTCCTTCCTCCCTCCTCCTCCTCACATTGATTGCCTCAGCTCTTCAGGATAACCTCTGTTCTGACGCCACTGTCTAAGTCTCATTATCTGAGGGTAAGGAGGACACAGGCTGAATTCGTGACCCAGTTTTCTCTTTGAAGAGTAAGTGTTGTCAGTTGACCTTTATTTTTTCAAGTTAACACGTCTTATGTACCTAGCCTTAACGTCTCCTGGAAAGACCAGCTTATTTTAAAGCATGTTACGGCTTCATTGCTTGTGTCCCTGTGTTTGCAACATGTTTCGAAAGGAAAGGACCTGTTTCTTTTGGGGGGGGGTTGTTTGTCTCTGTTTTTGTTTGGTTACCCTCTAGGTTACAACCTGAATTAGCACTAAGTTTGAGGAGAACTGAGCTCTCAGCAGATTCTGACATTACACTTGAGAACTGATTGTATTTACATTTTCTATGAAGCAGCTCTTCACAGAAAGCTAGGAGTGTGCGTCTCTGTGTGCTAGGCTTATCAGCTTATTTGGAAGGTTGCACTAATGTTTTTTGGCCATTGCAACACTGAAGGCCATTTTTATCTGTCAGCCTTGCCTTTACAGCGTCTTGTTTGTTTTTTTTCACAGATTTCAGACTTCAAGAATCGTTCTTTTATCTCCCACAACTTCTTTTTCCGGAAAATGTAATGCAGAGTAAAGATGATAGCCTCGGTATGGTATATGTCAGGGTGGCACTCAGCACTCTGACTGCAAGCGGTCTGCTTAGAGATTGGCTCAGTGAGAACTGGGAGAGCCTCTGGAAGCGCAGCCTCAATGCTACCACTTCAGACTATATGTGTATTTTCTCTCTTCAATGGTAGATTCACGACCAGTGGAGATGCTAAAAAATACAGCACTCCTACAAAGGAGGACTTCAGAGACAGGAGGAAGGCATTAGAACCCCATCTGTCTTCTTTATTGCCCTCAAGGCCTCAGACATTTCTGCTGTTCTTTTGATGTCTATACTTAAGTATGAAAAGGTTCCCTGGTACAGAGAACTGCGCTACTTTTAGTTGTTCCTGATGTCTGACGTTAGCGTTTGGGTTGTGGGTCTGCCACAGCTGACAGCTCCTTCCAGCACAAACACAGGGTGGACTCTTAACACAGTGATACTGATACAGGGTTGCTCTCAGTCTTCCTTGCTAGCACACTCTGAATCTGTCACTACAGACTAATCTTAACAACTTAAAATTCCTCTACTGGATGATTTCTCATTCCTTCTTCTGTACTTTCCCTCTCTTCATCTTTTTCTTACTAATAGTGAATCTTTGGTGTTAAAAAATGTGTTTGGGGTTTTCTTTGGTTGTTCTGGCCACCTTTAACTTTTTTTTACATCTTTTCAATTATCAAAAACCATATGCTTGATATAGTTCCCAAACAGTGTTTGAGTATAACAAGCTGGGTCCTTTTTTGCTTCCAGAGCAAGGATTTATATTAACCTAACTCAGTGGATTCCCCTCAAGAAATTACATACTTATTACCAAACATTTCAAAACAAAAAACCTTAATTGGCTTAGAGAAATAGCTCAGTCAGGAAAAAAAAAAAGAACCTTGCAAGAGAAGCTGAGTTCAGGCCTCAGAACCCACTCTTTAATCAAGCTGGGCACGGTGGTACATGCTTGTGACCCCATTTCTGAGGGGGTGGAGATGGCTGAATCCCTGAATGCCTCTCTGGACGGCCAGCCTGGCCTCGTTAACAGGCTCCAAGCCAATAAGGGATACTGCCTGAGGAACCACATACAAAAGGGCAGCACTTAGGGAATGGCTCCCCGGTTGTCGTTCGGCCTTGGATGCCCGCTCGGCCCTGTTTACAGCCACAGCTGTTTTCTCAGTTTTTGCTCTTCACCTCAGGAACACATTTCTGTTTAACAGATTTTACATTTAGATACTGGAAGCATAGAAAAAGAAGAAAAGGTAATTTTACTTTCTTCTTTCCCCATAACTCCAGACAGCTAGGAGAGTCCATCACCTGTGTTGTCTGTTCTAACAAATCTCAGTAAGATAATCCTGAAACAGCAGGCCCCTCTGCATCTGAACCTGTTTGCAAAGTGGTACTGCCTTGTAGAACCTCTCTCCCTTGGAGGTTTTGTGAGCCACTTAACAGGAAGAATGGAAACACAAACCCACTTCATTTCACCCCTGGTCTTCCCACAAAGCCAGCAAGATGTGCAGTAACTGCTGCAGACTCAACAGAAGTTGAGGGGCCAGAACAGGTTTGTGGGGAAAGCTGGCTGCCTAGCCCAAGCCCAGTGATAAGAATGGAAAGCACAGATGTAGCCAGTCTAGGTAACAGCATAACTGATATCCCCAGAGGTGACAAGAATGACAAGGGCCCATAATAAAAGTAGAGTAACTACTTTATGAAAGCAGCATTTTAGGACATTGGTACCACATCAAGAATTAACATCAGGCTGGGTGATGGTGCATGCCTTTAATCCCAGCACTCAGAAGGCAGAAGCAGGTGGATCTCTTGAATTCCAGGCCAGCCTAGTGTACAAAGCCAGTGCTAGGACAGCCAGAGATGTTACAAAGAGAAACCCTGTCTCCAAAACAATAACAACAAAAATTAATTTCAGGACCTTAAAATCAAAGTGGAGCCAGATAATTCCTATAGCGAGAAAATGTCCCTTTTTTAAAAGCATAATTTTAAAAACTAACGAAGAGTTTTGTACTAAACAGGAACATGCGGCAGCATGTAAGATGACACCCTCCCTGATCTCACACTTGCCTCTTCTCTCCCTTTGTAACCTACTCATCCTGATTCCACATATCATGACTGAGAATTCAGTTTTCTTGTCTTTGTATTCTGTCTGGTGTGGGTGACTGTACCTACAAATCTCATGTGAGGGCCCATGGAGTACAGAAATAAAGGACTGGGCCATTCCTACCTAAATCCACACGGATCTCAGCAATTTCTGCCTTATTGTGGATTAGTTTTATTTTAATTAAGTGAAAAATTTAGAGTTACAAGTTTAAGTTTATATTTTAAGTTCATTGGCACTTATACAAGTTTTTTTTTTTAGCCTAGTTAGCATTCCACCTCTTAAGTATAACTCTTCCCTATGCAGATATATAAATATTGAAATCAGAAAAGCATAACAGAAAGGTAATTATGTTTGTATTTCACATTGCTGTTACCACAAAACAAGACCTGTTTAGCATTAGCAGCTGGCAGTGGTAGCTCACACCTTTAATCCAGTCACCCAGGAGGCAGAGGCAGCCAGATCTCTGAGTTCTGAGTTTGAGGCCAGCCTGGTCTGTAGAGCTAGTTCCAGGACAGCCAGGGCTACACAAAGAGACCCTGCCCCCCAAAAAACAACAACAAAATAACAATAACATTTATTTAAAATTATTTTCTAGAGTGGTATGATTTCTTATGTGTGACTACCACATTCCCAATATAAAGCAAAACCTAGCTGTTTTGGGTTTTTTTCCTCTAGGCGCCTTTATTTTTACCACTTTTTCCTTTTGACATCCTTCACACTACGCAGAGATGTTAATAAGTGGTAGTGACCTGAGTGCTTTTGTTTGTGAGATAGATCTTTCAAAATATTGTATGGATCATGGCAATTTTAAAAGAGACCCAGAATTGTCAGTGTGTGTGTGTGTGTGTGTGTGTGTGTGTTGTATATATGTGGGTCAGAGGACACCTTTCGGAGTTGGTTCTCTAGTCTAACCTTTACGTGGATTCCAGGAATCAAACTTAGGTTACCAGTCTTATGCCATCACTCCAGCCCCTCGTGATGTCATTTTTCCAAGTGTGTTGTCTCTGAGGGTCTATTACATTAGCTCATTAGGATTTGACAAAAGCCTTGATCTGTTCATTTCTCTCCAGTATCACCAAGACTGTTTGTGGGTTCTGGAAAGGCTTAATTGTATTCACGAAAATTACAGTTAAAATCCTCCCTACTGCAGGGTATTCCCCCAGTTTAACTCTTCCCACCACACAGTGAGGTCTTTTAAGTACTTGAATGTGGCAGGCTCAACCCTGCTAAATCAATGCAATCTTTAGAGGCAGCGGCCTCTAAAGAATGCATCCAAATGAGGAAGAACACTGTTAAACTATGAGATAATAATAATTAATTAAATTTTTTTAGGAATGGTTATTGAACATTTCCCCCACAGAAGCTCGTGTTGTATGGGGCCTCCCAACTCAGGAGGCATCCAGTGACCTCACCAATTCCCTGAGAATGCAGGAAATTCTTCAAGGAAAGGAGTCTTCTAACTCCAACAATATGTCAGGATAGCAAGTGGACTTTTTTGTTTGTTGTTTGCTTTCCTTATTGTTCTTGCTGACTTGAGTAGGAATAGAGCTCACCAGCAGAACCCTGACAGCCTTGGCTTTTTTAACTGTCCCATAAATTTAGAGTGAAGGGGGTGACAGTTTAAAAGTCATTTCCATTCCATAGATTTTTCACCCAGCTGTCTTTGCCTGCATCAGACTCACCATAATCTCCATTTAACACTGTCTTTTCAGTGGAGCTGGAGCATAGGATTGACTTTGAACTCCGAGAAGGCCTTGTGGAGAGCCGCTACTGGTCAGCCGTCACATCGCACACTGCCTACTGGTCATCCTTGGATGTCGCTCTTTTTCTTTTAACATTCATGTACAAACATGAGCATGACGAAGACGCAAAGCCCAACCTAGATCCAATCTGAACTCTGGAAGGACATGACTGGCCCAAAACTTTTTTTTTTTCCCTGTTAAAATGTGTCAAGATACGGAGATTTCAAGATTCCAGTTTTGTTTAGGGCAAGAAATACTTTAATTTCTAAGCACTTTATTTTATTTTTAAAAGAGAACAAAAACACATTTTCAGTTCTTAAGTTATTTACTGTTTCTGTAATTTTGATTATGAGTCTAGCAAAGCGCCTGCTGAGAATCACCAGGCGTGCGTGAACGTGCGGCAGGCTTAGGAGAACTGGCCATCATGGTCCAGTTCTCCACAGGAGTCTAATATAATGTATTAATCTAAAGATACTCTAACTCTCAGGTGGTCAGAGCCCAGTGCTTTCTATGTGGCGACTGCAAGGTGGCATCATGGTTTTTGATTCTGTGCAGGCTTCCGTGTCCACAGTTCCTTTGAAAGAAGAATATAACAAGTATAAAAATGTTCTAAATTTCACTTGTTTAAAAAAAAAAAACTAATGCTAAAAAGCAATATTTCAACTATACTTATAATTTATTATAAGATATTTCAGTGTATGAAACATTACATTTTTAATGTTTCTGTTGAGCCACATTTATTTTGTATCATGTTGAGGTTTCTTTTTCCCAAAAATCCATCTTTGTACCTTCAGACGACCAGGTGATGCTGTGGCATAGTCAGGTTTTTTGTTTTCCTTTTTTGTTTTGTTTTTCATTAAAAACATGGTTTCACACAGCACCAGTCCAATTTTTTTTTTTTTTTTTTTTTTTTTTTTTTTTTTTATGATGTCCCATGTACCTCAGAGCAAGCTGAGTTTTCAACACAGGGACTCCACATTGGGTATACTGCATTCATTAGCTATAACAGAAAGGTAGAAAACACCTTTCTTTGGACTAGAGAGTTTGATGACTGGAAATACATAAACACCTGTGTGCCAAGTAAATAACACATGCCGCCCACAAATGCTATTTAAAGCTCTAAAGAAAGCATGGCAACTGGGGACAGGAAACAGCCAGGGAGCTCGGGGGTTCTGGGCTGTAATTGTTTCCACAGTGCTGTTCATCTGAAGTGTGCATTCATCGATCTTGTAGCAGCTTCTTGAGGTAAGTGAACTCGTGTTACCATGCCTCATGTATGTACTGAGGCACCAATATTTGCAGTGCCTTGCATTAGATTACACTGCAAATGGAGAGTTTGGATTGAAGCCAGACCATCTCTTTTCTTTGCTACTTGATGACTTTGTTGATGTGTGAACCTGAATAGTCTGCAGATGTTAATAAGCTGGAAAAGAGTGGCCTCAAAGCCCAGCGTTACCTGCAGATACATTCTGGACTCCTGCAGAAGTGGGTTCACTTAGGGCAATGGTAGCTATCCTTGCCATGGCCAACACTCGCTTCCCGGTGACTTTCCCTAGGTTCCACTCATGGTGCTTTCTTTCTCATGTGTAAGGGGTTTCACAGCTGCTGGGAGCAGAGCCAGTCAGCCTACATCCCTTTTCTTTGCAAGGTGGCAGAGCCCATGGCTTTTTGTGAGTGTTAGTGCTTGCCCTCAGTGCTGTCGGCTCCTTGCTGCCATTGAATTTGCTCAACACATAGCACTTGTTTGTAGTGTTTAAGCCAAGGCTGTGTGACTGAGTGCGTGGCTTGATGTAAAAGCTTTTCATGAATCTTAGCAGAGCTGAACATCACCGTTTGAGTTTGGAGATTCCTGTGAACTCGGGTCATTTTCATTGCCTATTTATTTAGTGGCTCTCATTTAATTCTCAGGAAAATTAACCCATGTTGTACGGCTGGCGTTAAAGGTGGCTGAGCATATGTTGAATATCAACTGAAAGGAAAAGTTGCTTCGGTAAGCAAAGGAGTATGTCTGCTTGCTTTTCCTCACACTGCAAGGCAGTCGAATTTCACTGCATGAGTTTATGTCAACTCTTGGAAAGAACACCATTCAAACCACTCCTTCAGTGAAAAGTAGATGATCTGCACCTGTGGACAGCGGTTTCCGGTTCATAATTTCATCAGTGCTGATGGTGATTTTGGTTCTATAGCTCATCTCTCCATCTCTGCATGTATTCATGGGATGTGCTGGCATATACTAAAGTAATACACAGAGTATATGTAATTCTGACTTGATTTAGAAACCAAGTCAGTTACCAAGTAACAAAGTTTGCAATTTTATTCCAGCAAGTACTAAATTGGCCCCCAAAAGTCCTGATTTTGATACTAATTAAAACACTATTCTCTACTTTGTGTTCATGTTGAGTCTCTTGAGTATTGTTCATACCAATTTTAACCCAGTTAGGCTGGAGAAGGAGAATGTTTGGCATTAAATCCTACTTTTCCTTTAAAAATTGGTCTTTCTAAGGCTTTTTATTCCTAACTTTATTTTCAGCAGTAATTACACTTTTCTTTATAATCCAATATTAACTGCATTTCAAGACACTACAACATAATGCTGGCTTTCCATGCCTTGAGTCTTAGGCTTTACTCTGTGTCAGCTTTTCAGCTGGAGAGATGGCTCAGCAGTTAAGAGTACTGGCTGCTCTTCCAGAGTTCCTGGGTCCAATTCCCAGCAACCACATGGCAGCTCACAGCTGTCTGTTACTCTAGTTCCAGGAGATCCAACACCATCACACAGATGTACATGCAAAAAAAAAAAAAAAAAAAAAAACAAACACCAATGCATATAAAATTAAATAATTTTTAATTAAAAAAGGAAGTTAGCTTTTGTGCTTTCTTCACCTCAGACCCAGAACCTCTCAACAGACTCTTTCACTGTTCTGTGTCCTCATTGGCAGAACAACCCTTCTGTAAAGCATTTAATACCATAGCCAAATGGGGCATAGTAATGTGCATCTGTAATCTTCACACATGAGAAGCTGAGGCAGAAGGATTGCCATGAGTTTGAAGTTACCCTGGGCTAAGGGTAGGTTAAAGTGGGACAGTATTGTAACTCAGCTAATAGAGTGTTTGTCAGGCATGCATGAAGTATTGGATTTAATCCCTGTCAGCACACAAACCCAGAGCACACCTGTAATCCCAACTCTAGGGTCGTAGAGGCAAGAAAGAGCTGATTTAGTTGTCCTCTGCTATATAGTGAGCTTGAAGCAAGCCTGGGCTACTGTAATACACAAACCAGTGACATGGGAAAGAAATCATGAGCCAGTGAAATAGCTCAGTAGTTAAAGGTACTTGTTGCCAAGCCTAATGGCCTGAGTTCAATTCCCAGAACCCATGGGGTAGAGACCTGACTCCTGTAGGTTGCCCTCTGCCCTCCACACACTATTGTCACAGTATGTACATGCTCTCACACATGCATACACACTTTCAATATTTAAAATGAGTGCCATGTCAGCAACTGCAACACTATAATACAGCAATGACACCTGAATCCCTTGAAGTATATCAGACCAAAAAGGTTTTTTGTTTTGTTTTTATTTTATTTTTCTCTGTAGCTTTGGAGCCTGTCCTAGAACTCTTGATCTATAGACCAGGCTGGCCTTGAACTGACAGAGATCCACCTGCCTCTGCTTCCCTAGTGCTGGGATTAAAGGTGTGTGCCACCATGGCCTGGCTGTAGACCAAATAAGTTTTACTGGCACACCTATTGCAGATAAGTAGTTGGCCCTCCTTCTCATCCATTTACTATTTTTTGGATTCTAATGAATAAGACATTTTGAAATTTGAGAAACTGACCAAAAGATCTTTAACATGTCTTTGAATCTTAGACTGTTTATGGAAACAGGCCAAAGAATGATGAGATGTTAATAGTCAAGGCAGAGCTAAAGAAGGATAATGTACCAATAGTGTCTGGAAAAAACTACTAAACTGAGTGTGGAATACTTGTGATCTGTTTATTCTTATTTCATATCTCATGTCCCTACTTTATTGCCATCCTGACCCCCTGGCTTCTGTCAGGAATTGGTGATGCTCAGACTGAATTTGAACCATGAAACTCAAGTTGCTCATCACCCCTATGGTGCTAGCATCTGCTATATGAACACAACCCCTGAAATAACCTTAGTATTATGATGATGGTGACCTGAGTGCGTATATCCTTCTTGGAACCCTCAAATTTCAGTTTATGTCTACAAGTGTAAAACCACTACATGTGTGCCTGGTGCCAGCAGAGATCAGAAGAGGGTGCTGGATCCCCTGGAACTGGAGTTACAGATGGCCATGAGCTACTGTGTAAGTGCTAGAACCTAAACCCAGGTCCTCTGCAAGAGCAGCTAGTGCTCTTAACGACTTTGCCAACTCTCCAGCCCCATCCCACTCCCAGATTAGATAGATTTTAGAGTCATCTGTTAGTTTCACGTGGCAGCAAAGGTCATGAAAAGAAGAGGCTGCAGGCTTGACAGGAGACCGTGCAGTGACTGAGGGTAGCAGTGGGGTTTCCAAGGAAAGATGAGTGGGGTGATAAAACCAGAGCCGCCACAAAGACCAGTTTCCCAAAGTATGGGCTGCCAGTGTCAGTATATCATGTCAGAAAATAATGACAGTGGCAGATTGAAGTTTCTTAATTCAGGGCAGGGTGGTGGCAGCTCTAGGAAAGCAGAAACAGGTAGATTTCTCTGAGTTCAAAGCCAACCCGGTCTACATAGAGTTCAGGCCAGCCAGGGCTACACACTGAGAGCCTGCCTCAAAAAATAACAAGAGTCTTTATAGGAGTTTGCCAGGAGTCTGCTGTGTTAGTGCATTTCACATCTGCCATGTTCTGCTGGTAGGGGGAGGCACACAAGCTTAGCTAACATGACTTGCTCCTGTAGCTAGGGAAATAACTGATTACAGGTAATTCCTTCATCCTGCAGTTTCACTTTCATCTTAAAAAGCAAGCGTCTACCCTGCTCAAGTTGTATGTTCAACAAGGAACAGAGCCTCCTGTCCTATTTTGTACCAGCCTGCCTGTTTCAAAAGCTATTAGGAAATTCTCAGGGTAGAAGTGGCTTCGTTTTTGTGGGATGGATGCACATGCCTCTTAAGCGTTGCTTACAACAAGATATAAGCTGAACCATCCATGACTTTTATCTGGAGTTGATCTATTATTCCTTCAGGCCTCATGAGAGAGTCTGAACATAACTGAACAGATTGCCTTGCATGTCAAAGACTCACAATACCCGGAGACAGGGGACACAAAAACCCTGGAAAACATTCATTAGTTTTCCTTTCTGATGACACATGCCAACATGATAAGGAAGAAAGTGAGTACAACAAGATTGGTGTTTGCCCCTCAGTTTTTCCCATCTTGTTTAATTTGACAACAGCTAGGTTGTTTCTAAAGCATCCGGTAAAAGTTACTATAAGCAGGAGGAACATTTTTGCTGATGGTGCCTGTGCTCCCCAAAATAGTCTCATGGTAGGTGGTCAGCATGAACTCTTCCTCTGCTTTTGTTCGAACAAGGGTGGGTCTGCTGAGCATTGTCTCTCACCTTGTGGTTTTTCACTTATATGTAACAGAGTGTAGCTTACTTCCTCCCCACCCTGAAGTTCTCAGGATATGTCAAGAGATATCCTTTAGGAAGATTATGCCTGATCAGAATTCTGTTGGGGTAAGATAAAACAGATGTAATCCTCAGCCAGAACTGGTTTCAGGGTCATCTGCAGGCACCAACTGCTGAAGAGTTTCAGGTGTCATGAATAGCATGTCAGAGAGTTTACACTGAGCATCTCCTAGTTTACCTGGAATATATAATACAAGGCACATACTTTGCAAATAGCTGTATTTGAGAAATAATGGGGAATAAAAAGCCTCAGCCTTTAGTGCTACCCCCTTGAAGATATCTATGAATATCAAGGAACTTCCCTTGAAGATGACCACACCCTCTTTCATCATCAGGGCCTCTAAAAATACGAACTGGCAAAACTTCATGAAAGATAAGTCTAACCATACTATTTTGGTCCTTGGCTTGTCACTGTAGACCTTCTCTATGGTGAGACTCTGAAGAGGGCTTCTGTTGTTTCCTCACTGTTAAAGGTGGGCAAATTTTCTTAGATTCTTCAGTTTTGTTGAATCATCCATGATTTGTTTATGGTGATCAGCTTGGATGGCAAAAATGTTAAGATATTTATGCTGTTATGCAATTCTACCTTTTCTCAACGGGAATTTAGTTAGTACATTTATGAAAATTGAAGGACAGTGGAATCAGTCCACTTATAATCTATGGTGGCCACATCCTAGTCTACTAGATACTGAGGCCACCATGCTCTTTGACAAAAGATGATAAAGTCTATATATAACACCTTCTAATCTTACAGACTGCAGGTTCAAAGATAATAGTTCTCCAGTTTGAGAACCCCAAAACCTGTGCAGACTGGTACCAACTACTGCCATGTTCATACTCACTGGCCCTCTGGTCGGTGCCATTGTGACTAAAATGTGCTGTTTAAGTATAGCTTATTTTCAGTCAGATTTTCAATAATGGGTAAAAGTTACACCATGTTTTGGATTTGAAATGGAGGGGGGTAAGTAAGATCCAGGAGAATAGCAAAAGACCCCAGCAACCTTGTACCTGAGAGTGAATTGATTACTTAGAACTCCAACAAGCCAACCTCACCACTGCCTCATTCTCCACTGACTGTCATTGCTAGCCTATTTCTGTCATAGCAAACCAAACAACCATTCCTGTTATGGTAGCTACTGTTCCTGTCCACCTGGCATCCTGCTTCTGCCTCTTTTTGGTCCCTTCCCATACAACACTCTACACTAACCCTGCCCACTCTTAGTTCTGTCAGGAGCCAAAAAAGTGTCAGGGTGGTGGCACATGCCTGTAATTCCAAGATTTCAGAAGCTGGGACAGTAAAGGGAGCAGCATGGGTTCTGAGTCAGCTTGGACAACATAGGGAGCTTCCATACCCCAACCTCCGGTTAAAATTGTTTCCTCTGTGTGGACCCCACATAAATCATAGCCACAATCAACAAGGCCTGTGCCAGGGCCTCGGAAAGAGTTCATGTCTCATGTCACACTTCATTTCCAACCCTGTGAACCATGCTGATGAGCCATGAGACCAGCACATGACCCAGAATAGATGCACAGAGGTTTTTGTGAAATTGTATTTGGCCACCCCAAAATGCAGATAACCTGCTGTAGCAAATAAACATAATCCAGTGGCACCCAGAGTCCTTCAAAGATAGATCATGTCCATCTGCCATGCAAAAGTGATGCCTGCATGGTCAAGCTCCTGGGGACCCAAAGCCATTTTATTTCTTTTGAGAACTCACTGTTCAGATCCATAGCCCACTTTTCA